AAATGAACACCCAAGCTCATTAACACCTACAGGTTGCGAGCCTGCCAGCGTTCCACAGGACTATCTAGAAAAGTCAATGGTCGTCATCCATACTCCGCTAGATGACTGGATCACAATAACATCGAGGTCTCTCATCATTTTATTTCATCACACATCAACTATATACCCATGTTTTACCCAACATATTTGTAGATAAAAATACATATACAGTTAAATTTATTTAAAAACCTGTATAAATCATTCATTCATCATCCATCTCAAATAAATAAACAATATATATTCACATAGCACGTATTTTATATAAAATACTTCATATCTATGTGTAAGATGAAAGTGACTATAAACTCACTTGATTTAACGATAATCGGGCAGCACTTCGTTTCCTAAAACAATTGTTTCTAATAAAACCGGGAGTTTTATTGAGAAACCGGGCTCTGCGAGGGTTGGGCTTCAAAACCGAAAAAAATAAAATTTTCTGGGTCTTCGGGCACTTCGGAACGTATTTTGGGTGTTTGGTATAATATTGGGGCTTTGGGGGAAGTTGGAATGGAAGAAATATGGGTTTAGGGGTGTAAAATGGCAATTTTCCAAATTACCACCGGGAGGTCTCGCAGGCACTATTTATAGGGAAGAGCCTCGGATCCGAAGCAAGGGTAAGCGAGCACGTGGCAGCTGCTGCGAGGCTTGGACGCAAGGTGGCTCGGATGCGAAGCGAACAGGTGGCTGGTGCGAGGGAGACACGTATGCGAGGAGTGGGAGGCGCGTCGGAAGCTCGTAGGCGAGGCGTGGCTCGCTTCGGACACGCCACGTATGCGACACGCGTCTGATTTCTACCGGACCACGCTTCGGATACGTCATCGGATCGGACACGGGGCAGCAACGAAGCGAGGGTGACGTGGCCTATTCCGGACCATGCGAAATTTCTCGGATTTCGTGTTTTTCTCGATTTTTGAGCCAAAACTTCTAAAATCCATAACTTTTGCATAATGGCTCCGTTTTTGACGTTCTTTATATGCACGTGTAGGTAAAACTATGCTCTACAACTTTCATTTAGACTTCGTCGGCTAATTTTGACTTTAATTTTTAATATTATTATTTTTAACAGACCGGGACAGGAAAATCCGTTAAAAATTCATAACTTCTTCATCCGACGTTCGTTTTCGTCTGTCTTTTTACCATTGTACTACTATTGACGAGACCTTAGATTCTCGTTTAGGTTGTGTCGGCTAAAAATCACTCGATCTAAAATTCGAGTTTTTAGTTGTCTACTGTTAAGCTGAAACTTAGAAAAATCATAACTTTCTCATACGAAGTCAGATTTAGGCGTTCTTTTTATACATACTCTCGGTTTAACGAACACTACAACTTTCATTTAGATCACCAAGGCTAAAAGTAGTTTATCAAAAACTCACTTTTTACGTCATTCGGCGTCGTGCCGGTTTTGTCGCGGAACTTCGACAGGTCATAACTTCTTCGTTATAACTCGGATTTCGGTATTCTTTATATATCCGGAATCCTTGTCACGACCACTACAACTTTCTTAATAGATATCGGCTTTATCCAATATTTATTTTCGACGCTCATTTTTATTCTTAATTAATTAAATCCTAATAATTAAGCATAAAACACATAATTTACATAATAATCACATAATTCCTCTTCATTTCTTCAAAATGAGTTACAAAGGTTGACCTAGACTATTTCATCATCATTAATGCCTAGCCTAGAAACACGGGCGATACACGGCCCATGAAAGAGATTTGGGCCCAATTTGGAAAATTGGGCCATAATTGGGCTTGAGGTGATTATGTTGGAATTTGGGCTTTTAGACAATTGGATTGAGCCTAGACTTTGGGCCAAGTTAGGTAAAGGGTAAAAATGTCTTTTACCCTAGTTCAAACTCTTTGTGTGAGTTGGGATCCAATTATTGATTGGATGATTATTTTGTGATTGATAGCACGGGGATTTTAGCGGGCCAGCAACCAGAGATTCTTTTTGTGAGATTCGGTAGTGCGAGGTGAGTTTCATCACTGCGTTTCGCGGGTCGAAAGCACCAATGCCGGCCCATGGTTTTGTTATGTTAGGATGTTAGATGTCTGTGTGACTCTTGCATGTGTTATGTGCTCGTATGCTTACCGGGCGAGGCACAATGACCATTCTGTATGCTATGTATCTTTGTGATTATTGCATGTGTTATGTGTTTATATGTTTATATGTTTTATATGTATACTGGGTGGGGCTCGATGACTAATAGATCTGTATACCGAGCGGGGCTCGATGTCAGGCGGGGCCCAATGACGGGCGGGGTCCATTATGTGTTTATTATGTATGGTATGTGGTATCTTGGGGAACTCACTAAGATTTGTGCTTACGGTTTTCAGTTTACGTTTTAAGTACTCCCAATTCCAAAGGGAAGAACTTGGGATGATTGTAGAGCACGCACCACTCGTTTCCGCATCTTTGTGATTTACTCTGATATTGATGATGTATCGATACATGTGATAATCTTGGTTTTATAACAATGTTTTGGGTTGTTGTTTTTATTAATCTAAAAATGAAAAAATTTCGGGTCTTATTTTTAGGATGTTACACTATCTTTCAGACTGTGAGGTGAGTTTTCTTCACTGTACTTGTGGGTCGAAGGTACCAATGTCGGCCCACTAAGTTATGTATCCTGGTATATAGGACGTTGTTATGTTGTAGTGATCTGTCATATCTGCATGATTATTTGTTTGATGGTTATATGTTTATCGGTTGCATATGTCGACATAGTGCGGTTGGGTTGAGGCAATATTGTTTTATGCGGAAGCCAACAAACCTAGGAGCAATCTAGACACAAGTCGTAGGCCGGGAGGGCAATCCATACTTATGATGTGGGCTTGGGAGCAATCCAGACATAAGCTGTGGGCTCGGGATTTTCAGTATTATTGTTTCTATAACTTTTTGAATATGTAATGTGGGATTTTGACTTCCACAATATGTTTTTGAAATATCTTTCATGTAACTCTGATATTATGTCTTGGAAAGTTTAAATGGGATGATATCATGATTGCTTTTTTTTACAAATGGTTTTTATTTAATGTTGGAAGTTATGGTTTTTCTATATTAATTGCTTTAAAAAAATAGGACGTTACATGAGGGTATTTTTGACTAAGAGTGGCACCACTAATCCACGAAAACTTAGTATGTATTTTATTTCCCACTTGAACCTTACACAATTCTTGCAAATCAAGGCCTTTAAAATGTAAATGAGTAATGGAACGAACACAAACCATTATGGGCATTTCCGGTATCCAAAATTCGAAATCGACCATGTCAAGAACTTAGTCATTAACTTCAGATCATAAAACAAAGTAATTACAAGCAATTAATACCCGATTTTCATTATTTTCAAAAAATTTCAAATCATACTTTTGGAAACGAAACATAGTGTACTTTGTTCACATCTTCATATTTTTACAACTAAGAATTACCACTTGACAAAAGAAATCATAATAGAAACAATACACATACACACTATACAACGATAAATAGTTGTTATACAAAAGAACTTGCATGTAATGATCTCTTAGACTTCCAAAAGACGAGCTTGTTTCTTATCATAACATCTTACTTCCTAACGATACATGAATCACATACTTGATGAGATATTATTATCTAGTAAGTGAATTGACGAACAAATATGGTAATTTTCATGTATAATAAAGTGTAATAAATTTATAGTTCACAGTACTTTAAACATTAGGTTTCTAATATAAATCATTACTTAATCATACATAAATTCATTATCTCCCTAATTGACACTTTTACATGTATGTAATCATTTAGATTATCTCCCATCGAGTGGGGATCCAATACATATAACTATACAGTTCATCTCCTAATGAGTGGGGATCCGATTTACATGACTATACAAGTCATCTCCCAATGAGTGGAACCCATTTTATATGGCTATACAAGTCATTTTCCAATGAGTAGGAATCCAATTTATATAACTATAAAATCCATCTCTTAGTGAGTGGGAATCTAATTTATATGACAATACAAGCCACATCCCAATGAGCGGGAATCCAGTTCATATGCTTACTCATACATAACCCATATAATTCATATTACAAGTAATACTCTTGAGTTGTTCGAAACTAAATTGTAAGTCAAACACTTACCTTTCGAGGGTTGAGATTCCAAGTCGAGTTGTGGTTTCTCTTGAGGCTTCTTAGCTCTTGAACCTGTGGATTATCATATACATATACATTTATCATCATGATGTTTTTTTCTTGATCCTCACTTGGTAGTTTATTAGATAACCATGTTTTGCAAACCTTTTTCTTGTCCTAACATATAACATAGTTACAATCTTTTCAAGCATAAATTTTAGACTCAATTAAGCAATTCACACTAATCAGACATCTTATCCTTATGTTGACTTTGTGGGTCAACTTCACCTTTCCTCACTAGCTCCAATCCATACTTTCAAGGTTGTTTATAAGACATTCCTGGAAAACAACATATATTCCTCCCCAACCCCAATAGTAATGAAGGTTTCAATTGTGTTCACTTATTTCATATCATGACATATAGCTCCGTTAAATAACAAGTTGTTGGTGGGCTTTTGAAGCCTTTTCTTTGTAACCAAATTTAGTTGTCCATCCAATCCATTAATTGTTTCCTTGACTAATTTAAGTCTTTTAATTAAACAAGCTCTTTTATTTTATTTATAATAAATAAACCCATTTCTTTATTTAGCTCGATTTTGATCAATAAATAATAAACAACTATTAATTATTTATTTTAGTTGGTAAATAAAAAATTTGTCTTGTATAAATATATTATTTATTTCATTCTTTTGTAATGATCTTTAATCGGTAATTAGCAGTACAACATATGCCTTATTTGTTGCACATTTACAAAAGGTATTTAACTACTTAGTAATATCATGAAGCTACAATAAACTTTAATTTTAAAAGAATTGATTCTTAACTTTGTATCAACCATGAAAATTGTTAAAAAAAATGTAATTCTTAAGCATGAGAATAATATATAAGAAGCTAAAACAATTCATTCTTAACCATTCTCATGTAGCATTGTACCATGAGGGTACTACAGTAGAAATTTTACATACAACGCACCCACATATACCTTAGTGAACCAAAAACCTACCAAATATTAACCAAAAATATACAATCATAACCAACTTTTACCTAACAATCATAAAACACTTGTTCACTAAACAAAATCTCCAAAACTTGGAAAGGAATCTAATTGATTGATTTGACTTGTCAACGTGTCAAATTTCTCCATTTGTCCTTCAAATCAACCTGAAACCATGGGCCTACATCACCACCAAATCAAACATGACATGACATGATTTGACTGGACTTTTCAAGATGACCTTAGACTGTTTGGTGGGATGGGACTGGAACTAATCTCAATGGGTACAAATTGTAATTTTTATCCTTATCATAAAAATAGCCTTCGAAAGTATCTGTCCAGTAGTACAGTTCTACAGTTTTGGCTTGTGTAACAAATGCAACTTATAAAAATAATGATGCATTACCTCCGTTCTATCTACAAATATGTCACGATATATATTTAACATCAGCTTCCAATTTCCTTTACCATACCTTCAAAAAGAATACAAATTATATGGGCTATAAAACTGCAAATAAAAAAAAGTGAAATAAAGAAAGATTTTATAAGTATGACTTACTTTAGTACCCCTGTTCGCAGAGTGTCCTCCTCTGTGATACTCCATCTCATTTTCTTTCTTGTTTGTGGGAGTTTCTTGTTTTTGTACTTGAGAGGTGCAATGGGTCGCTTTTTTGGTGAATCTTTGTTGGAACTATCAATGGAGTCACTCCACTACAAAGAGATTTTAATTGATTATGCGTTATGTATCTTTGTTGGAACTATCAATGGAGTCATACCTCAAAGACATGGGAAGTGCTATTTTGTTCAATTAGGCTAACTTTAGGCTCCTTCTGATCATCTCCATTAGCATGTAGAGCTTCACCATGATCACACGAAGGACTGGGATCATCTACACCAACCCTATTATGGGCACCTACAACACAGTCATAATGAAATAACTAACATACTGATAGATTCTTGCAAGCATTATGATCATTAACACTGATACAAAACCAAAGACTAAATGTCTTTCAGATTGAAATTACCTTTGTCCTCTCTATTGAGATTGGCATTAACACATTGATCATCATTTGAAGCACCATCTGCAGCTACTTCTTTAATCTGATCATGATGTTCTTCCTCTTTACACAAATCCAAAACCTTCCTTGGCATATCATCACCCAGTGTCTCAGCCACTAATTCAAGGAACGTAGGACCCATTTTTTCTTTAGCCTCCTTGACATAACAACAAACGGCATCCACTACATCCAATCCCTTATACTTCACCAAGACTTTTTCAAAATAATTTGGAACCCAAACGCCAGCCTCAAGATAATCCATCCAACCCAACAAATCATCCGAAACCAAGCCCACTCCGTTTGCCACATCAAATTTCTCCATTTTTTCAGCCCTACCCCTCCAAATCCTACTCACAGCACAAAAATACCTGTATGTATCATCATCCCCACTCCCTTCAATCAACTTTACTGTACAATGCACCGCAACAGCGCAATACGCTGCTTTCATGGCTTCAGAAACCTCAGTATTTCCTTCTCTATGATCCAATTCTTCAATTTGTTCTAAGAATTCGAGAGTACGTTCGGAGATTGTACCTTTTTTGATATCAGACTCCAATTTTCGCAAGAGCAGACTCTTTGTAATGCTTGGGTCGTTGTTTGGCAAAGGAAGAACGGGAATTAGAACGTTTAATAAACGATCGTCGAGTGAGTGTTGTCTTATGAGGAACTCGAGAATCCACCTACCTATATCAATGTCCATTTAATGAAATTAAGCATATACAATGATGAAATCTTACACTTTTCCTCAGGTTAGTCGACTGGGTTTTTGAATTAGGGTTTTCATGGGAATGATCCTGTTTAAAATTGGGGTATTGTTATTTTTATTTAAGCCTCCTGAAGTTTTAAAATGTTTCAATACTTACCTCGTAAAACGCAAGTTTTCTAAAATGCCCCTTGACTTAAAGACTTTCGGTATTGCGCTATTTTGACAATGACATTTGTTTTTTACTTTTTTCCTAAGAATTTAGGCAGATGTTTGATACAAGTGTCAAACTTACTAGTACTGAATTATTAGTTTAGTAATGTATTATATAACATTATTGTTACTAAATTTTATTAGCATCTCAACTTATAAGAAAAGTGCCTCCAATAAAATTTTGTAACACACTTGCAAATACTAATCTAAAAGTCGATAGACACAAATTCGATAAACTTCGGCAGAAAGATAATCACTATTAGAAGAAAAAACCAAAACTTTAATCAAGAATTGGAAACTTAGAGGTGCACACACAATCTGTTAATCCAATATGGATCCGGGTCCGACCCAAAACCGATTTGAGCGATCGGTTATATTTGATGTGATTGTATTTAATCTGATCACAAATTATATATTGGAAACCGGATTATAACTTGATAAGTGAAACCGTTTACAAATCGAATCGGGGAAAACTCCAGAAAAAAAAAAAAAAAAAAAAAAAACAGTGAAAATTGGATTAGAACAGATACATTGGTTTATACTTTTTTACTAGATTATAACCCGCGTTAAACGCGGGGGAACGTATTAAAAATTTACCAAAACATTTATATATATTGCATAATAATTATACAAAAAGTTTATGGCTATTGTGATTATTGAAAGGTGAAGAAGAAACACTGAAATCGATAAATAACTATAAACGTTGCAGGACCTCTTTGTAGACAACGTTTTTTGTTTTATTAGTTGAACGACCTTCCTCGTCACATATGAGTACCTTCAAACCTTTTTTGCTTGTTACACGAGAAACAGCTACATATAACTGACCATGGGTGAAGACAGGTCTACGCAAGTATAATCGAACATTTGATAATGACTGTCCTTGACTTTTGTTAATGGTCATAGCGAAACAAACTGCTATTGGGAATTGTCTACGTTGAAAACGGAATGGAATTTTTTTATCGGATGGGGTCAACTTCATGCGAGGTATATAAGTAGTCTCATTGAAAAATCTACCAGATATGATTCGTGCTTCAATGACGTGTCTTCCAAGCCTTACGATTTGTAATCTAGTACCATTGCATAGTCCTTTGGTTTGGTCGATATTACGAAGCAACATGACCGGAACACCTTTTTTTAGTATAAGTTTTTGGTTGGGAATTCCGGAGGCCTTAAAAGCGTTTAACACATCCGGAGAGTATACGGATTCCTCAAAAGAATCTTCTGCCTCGGTCTCACATAAGGAATCTGAACTCAGATATGTTTTCCCTTCAACTTTCATCAATTCTAACATGTAGTCGTTGATAGCATCAACTTCTTCATTAGTAGGGACCAAAATAGCTTTATCTTGAAATACGATGAATCATCAAGATGGTTCTGAAAAGATGAATAAATGCAGGATACAATTGAATTAATATGGTCACCCGTAGAGGGAACGATCACATCTTCTGGAAATTCAACTTCAACTTCACCATCATTAGGACCACCGATAGTACCTTCACCAATTTTAAGAATCCAATCAGCAAATGATTTTGTCTCTTCGAAATCATTGTTTGGACAACCAAACTGAAGCCTCATGTTTACAGTCAAACGTAAATCTGTACATCATAGCCATAATCTTGATGAATGCAATGATGCCTGCACAATATCTGAACGATTTCCTCTTTGTATTACTGGAAGAATTTGTCGAAAGTCGCCTCCAAATACAATGGTCTTGCCTCCAAATGGTTTATCATTGTTCTTAGGAAGGATAATATCTCTAAGTGTCCTATCAACTGCTTCGAAACAATAACGATGCATCATTGGGGCTTCGTCCCAAATTATAAGGCTCGATTTGTTCAATAGGGCAGCTACATCGTTACCTGGCGTAATAGAACAAAACGAATTCTCATTCACGTTAATTGGTATATGAAATATTGGATGTGCTGTCCTACCACCAGAAAGCAAGAGTGCTGCAATTCCGCTTGAAGCAACATTAATAACTACTTCACCTTTAGATCTAATAGCAGCAGACAATGTCTTCCAAACGAATGTTTTTCCTCTTCCTCCGTAACCATAGAGGAAAAAGACACCACCTTTTTTGTTGTTAACTGCATTCATAACGATATCATAAACATTTTTTTGCTCGACCTTTAATTTTGAATGCAGATGTTGATGTTCAGATTCAAGACTGGATGGATCATAATTAAGCTCATATTGAATTAACATATTGTAAGAATCTTGAATATATTTGTGATCAAGTAATGGCATATTGGGTATTTGCTTAAAACTCACTCCACAGCTCAATAAAGATTTCTCAATGTACGACAACGTTAGGTGGTAAATTGCTTCCGGTTTTAGCTTCAAGCCTGAAAACATTAAAAAGTAATGAAATAATTTATTTATAATATCAATTAAAGTGTGAACGTTTTTTTGTGTGAATGTACCTTTCACTCCTATTTCTTGTTCGCGAACGTGAACGACATCATCAGAAAGACAATTATATGTCTCTTTAAAAACATGATGAGGTCGGGATAGACTATCTGGTGTAATCAACATAACGAATAGAGACCTGCAGAAAGAAGTGGTGGCCCAATGATGTGTTTCTTGTATAGAAGATATGTACTCTCTATCATCGTCTAATACACCAAGAGCGTAGCAAGCATCTTTGTAAGAGTCATAAACGGTCCCATTAACCGTTCTAATATCTTCATAGCAAGTAGGACCCTTTACTTTGTTGAGCAAAATGCGCAAGTAATAAACATCACCAGACTTGGGAGACACATGATTAATTCTGCCAAGTGACTTTGTCTTTGTTTTTCTTCTTGTCCATACTTTATCTGATTTATTCCAAACATATTGAGTTGGGAATTCAACATAGGATAACTCCCTTGCCTTTTCGTCGTAGCTATTACATTCCATCCAGGCCAAAAATTGAGAAGCAGCAATAGTTGGTTTAGAAACAACATTAGTAACACGTTGGGATGGTTTAAACACAACAAGTTGTTTGTCTTGTAGGTGAAACGACAATCTTTCAACATGTGGTGTTCTATAATGAATGTAATACCTAAAAAGTCTCCAACATGCCTCACAAGCAGAAATATAACGACAATTGTAATACTCAACAATTTCATCACGATCGTTATTTTCTTTATGTTGTTTTTTGTTATTTTTGGCGTCGTAAAAAGACGCGGTGATCCTGTCTAGACCTTTGTTAATATACTTAAAAAAGTATTTTATCGATCCAAGCTGATTACACCACTCAAGATTCATATGGGCTTGGTATTGCTTCAAATGTGTCTTATTATATAGAACAACATATCTGAAAAAAGAAACAAAATGTCATAAAGAAAATTAAGATCATTTAACATATCTTTCCTATAAAAGATAACATTTATAAAGAAATAAATGTTTATATAAAAAAAATTTAATTTTTATACCTATTGTCCAAAGAAACTCCATTTTTCACGACATTGTTTCCGTTTTCACGTCTTCGGTAAACTGGATAACCATCATCATCAATATATGTGTCATTTGTAAAGTCTTTTGGAAATACTTTAGAACATTTGCCATTTTTCATACATGGCATAAATGGAAAATCATTGCCATCCAGGCCAAAAATTGAGAAGTAGCAATAGTTGGTTTAGAAACAACATTAGTAACACGTTGGGATGGTTTAAACACAACAAGTTGTTTGTCTTGTAGGTGAAACGACAATCTTTCAACAGGTGGTGTTCTATAATGAATGTAATACCTAAAAAGTCTCCAACATGCCTCACAAGCAGAAATATAACGACAATTGTAATACTCAACAATTTCATCACGATCGTTATTTTCTTTATGTTGTTTTTTGTTATTTTTGGCGTCGTAAAAAGACGCGGTGATCCTGTCTAGACCTTTGTTAATATACTTAAAAAGGTATTTTATCGATCCAAGCTGATTACACCACTCAAGATTCATATGGGCTTGGTATTGCTTCAAATGTGTCTTATTATATAGAACAACATATCTCAAAAAAGAAACAAAATGTCATAAAGAAAATTAAGATCATTTAACATATCTTTCCTATAAAAGATAACATTTATAAAGAAATAAATGTTTATATAAAAAAAATTTACTTTTTATACCTATTGTCCAAAGAAACTCCATTTTTCACGACATTGTTTCCGTTGTCATGTCTTCGGTAAACTGGATAACCATCATCATCAATATATGTGTCATTTGTAAAGTCTTTTGGAAATACTTTAGAACATTTGCCATTTTTCATACATGGCATAAATGGAAAATCATTGTCGCAAGGTCCATGTATCATGTTGTCAGAAACAATTTGATACAGATCTGGTTCAAGTTCTTTGTCTGGCAATTCAGCACATATAACGCGATCTATGTCTTCGGGATTTGGAAGTTTAGACTTTTTTTCTAAAAATAGGCATATGTGACAATGTGGAAGACCCCTTTTTTGAAACTCGATCGTATATATAACTGTATGATGCAAATATGTACTCTGGTTAACGCATGATATTATAAAATCAAAATAAAATAAAATGAATAATGAGATTTTAGATTTATACCTCCATCGACTTCACCCAAAAAATTTTCTTCCTTGAGTCTAGTGATTAGTGAATCAGGTTTTATTTTGAATATTCTTGTCAAAATATCGGGCCTGTCTTCGGGTTTAAGATTTTCAGATTCAACGAATCTAATTACCTCTGGCCATTTAGGATTACATGTAACAGTTAAAAAAAGATCAGGATAACCAAACCACTTAACCAAAGTCATTGCGTCTAAGTAATTATGTTGCATGTAACGACTGCCACCCGTAAAAGAAGACGGAATAATAATACAGTTTCCCATCGCAGAAGCATCTTTAGTTCCTTCTTAAGTAGCCTCGGCCAAGTCTCCATAAGGAGCGACACGTAATGTTGGTTGGTTAAACCGAATATAATTTAGCCTGTCATTTTCAACCATTGTATACGAATCAACCAAAAACTGTTGGAAGAGTTTTCTGGAACGTAATACCAAAGATATTTCATTAGTTCTCTGTTATATACGATAAGCAAAAAACTCTCGCATTGTCAGTGTTATTCGTCCTTTGGAGTTTGGTTCTTCAACACCACGATGTAATATTTCTAATCGAAATCCATCTTCGGCATAAGGGAACAATAAAGGATATTGAAGTGAAAGATATTGCGGATGCAACTCATTAATGTGTTGAAGTTGACGACTTTGAGTTTCCAAAACAATATCTCGTGAATCGGAACCGTCAATGTCACTTACAATAAGTGCAGCAACCTCACTTGTGGTAGGAAGATTATACTGTCTACCGTCCTTTTCTATTGTCCCAATTAATTTAAGCATAATACGCTCTGTTGGATTCGATCCAAATCGATCACGTTCCATTCTAAATTGCTTAACTAATGGATTTATAAAATCCAATAAACCCATTAGCTCATGAATAGTCAAGAACTCCGGTGAAAAATGATTTCCCATTGAATTATGAGATGTTGAATTTTTCTTTTTTGAACTACATTAATAGGAAAACAAAATCATGGATATAAATATTATGAGACATAATAAAAATTTTAAACACACACACACACACATATATATATATATATATATATATATATATATATATATATATATGTGTGTGTTTGTGTGTATTTAATGCTATTATATGATAGAATGTATTTACATACTCGTATGTATTGAATCTGTTGTCAACCTCGTGATCTGTATCGTATATATACAATTGGCAAAATTTTGGTAATTCGCCTTCCTCTGGTAGTAAGCTGCCTGCAATATGATAATTTTGTCCATGCATTCGATAAACATAAGGACCACCTCCAGAGTTAATGACATGATCAGTCTTATCATCCATAGATGTAAATGCAAACATTATATTGTATCTACGAATATTTTTTATAAAGTTCTGACTTTTTTCAGTAACTCCGCTATATAAATCAAGCAATAACTGAGGTGGGTGAATCAAGTTTGGTAATTCTACTTTTCCGTTGTAACAACATATGGAATAAGAGGTTTTCCTTAAATCTTTATTTCCTCTTATTGCTTCTCCCTTCCAAACCCTAGTTTTACATACAGAGCAAACGTATACCGCATCACCTGAATCCAAATAATCTATAAAGAAACAAAAAAAAAAACTAATCAAATAATATATACTATAAGCGTAATATGAAAATGGTGATAACATATTGAAAGGATAATTTTCATTGGATAACCAAAATTTTAAATTTTAAATAAAAAGAAACAGTACCTTTGTTTATGCCAATACATTTAGTCTGGGTGTCAATCCGTACATCATTTTGAGCAACTGAATTATAAGGCACATATGTTTGTTTCTTTTTTCTTGGTGCTGCAAAATAAACATAATTTAAATTATTAATAAGACGATGAATATTTATAAAATTAAGTGCAAAAATGTATAAGTGGAAGTATTAACAAAATAGATGATAACATACCTTGGTAATCAACCTTATCAGTATAACCGCATGAAGGTTGAGAACGAATAGTAGTATTGCTTGAGTTTCTCCACAAAATCTTCATTCAAATCAAAAAAAGGAATATCCTTTGTATTGAACTGTTTTCGTTTCCCTCTTGTCGTTTTTGTTGTGTTATTTTCTTGAAATGTAGCACATTTTTTTGAAAAAATAATGATTAGATAAGATCAATGATTGTGTTGCTAATAATTGTGAAGTAACTTTTAAACGTGAAAAAAAGGAATAAAGTGAAATATAGCGAATGTAATTATATAATAAAATAAAAAATACTATGTATTAATTAATAATGACATAATTTGAAATATATGACCATAGTTCGGATAGGTCTTGCCTGCGTTGAAAGTTGTTGCATTTTGAATTGTTTGGTGATTTGAAATTTGCAACGCACTTGAACTGTTTACAACTGTTCATTGGTAGTTTTTTATGTTAGTAAATATTGAATGTATTAAAGTTTTTATATTATCTATATTGTTTAGGTAAACATAATAAAAAATAATTATGAAAAACTTACCCTGACCGGTGATATGTGACAGTGGCGACCATGAGGTAATTAATGAATGTTGCACGTTTTGCCGTATACGGTTATGAGAGGATGATGTTGAAGGTGATGGAGTAACTTCCCGAGTAACTTGAGAAACAGACGTTATAAAGATACGATTTTCTGGAAAAAAAATTGAATTGTAAAGGACAATGAAAATATGAATATGCATATGTAATATTAAAGTACATATATTGAAATTAAATTTGTAATTATTTAAATACAAAAAATATAGTAAGTAGTAATATAACAATAGGATAACTATTACCAAAGTTATGATGCCTCCTTATATCCTTGAAAGTTGTTGCATTTTTGTTTGTTTGGACATTTGAAGTCGGCGACGTATACGAACCGTTTATAACTGTTTATTAGTGTCATAACAGTTATTAAATTTGGAAAAATTAATAGTCTTTATATGGTTTTGACTGGCAGTGAGAGAATAATATAAAAGTAATTATTAATAATTTACTCTGATTGGTTATTTGTGAAAGTGGCGACCTTGATGAAATTGTTGTAGGTTGCAAATTCGGTTGTAGGACGTTATGGGATGATGAGTTTGAATGTAATTCCGGGCATTTTCGAATAACTCGACAATTAGTGGGGATGTAGAAATTATTTTCTTCAAAAAAAAATAATAAGTATGATAAAGGTGGATGAAATGAAAATATATTAGACATTAAATATGAAATTTAACGGGAATATATATTATATAAAATGAAAATCAATAAACTATATGTATTGAACATCTAATGCTAATATTAAATTAAAAGTTTACCGTTTGTGATGTTCGACAGTGGTGGGCATGACGATGTTTTTGATTTGGTTCTTCCATTGTTGGTATTCATATATGTTGTATACTGTAAAATATAAGATGAAGTACATAAAGTTGGAGAGAAGAGTAAATGTATAAATGGATATCATAACATACAATTAAATGATATTGGTGAAGAAAATAACGAATTAAAGTTGGTTAACAAATATAGATAGTTTATAATTTTTTTTCAAGTATGAATTATGGACTTTGTTTAAGTATGTTGACTTGCATTATTTTTGTATTTTTGGTTTATAATGAACTTTTATATATTTGTTTTCTGTTAGTTTTTTATATGCGTTTTGTTGACACAAATCTATTTAAATGAACACAATTACACTTTTGAATGTAAATAAAACAAACCTAACTAAAAACTATAAATCACGGAAAAATAAGTATAAACAATGAAATGCGTACCTTTTTGCCTTTGATTAACCAAGCTAATAATTGTTTACTGTTATAGAAGGCTGTAGAAAGGAAGAAGTATTGATTTAGTATCGTGAATATCAATATAAATGAAGAGGTAAAAACATAGATAAAACACAATAAAATACCCATGTTTTGCAGGAGCGTGGAAGGAAAAATAAAAATGGGTTTAGGCGGAATATGTCATATATATGTATTGAATCCAAGTTGGTTTTGGAGGGATAAGATAAAAGTCATTTTTATCTTATCCCTTAAATGTTGAATTTCAAAAAATGTAGTTAGGATAGATAATGTAGAACATTTTAGGATTATTTTTTAAAATTTAAAATTAGGATAATGTTGATGGTTAGTGTATTGAATCCAAGTTGGTTATGGAGGGAAAAGATAAAAATCATTTTTATCTTATCCCTTAAATGTTGAATTTCAAAATGTAGTTAGGATAGATAATGTAGAACATTTTAAGATTATTTTTTAAAATTTAAAATTAGGATAATGTTGATGGTTAGTTTGGAAAAAAGGATAATTTTTATAACAGCCAAGAATATATTATTTACCAAAACAGCCCATGACTTTACATTTAATACCAAACAGCCCTTACTACATACTGTTTATTATGTAAGCATTTTACTTTGAAAAGTGTACAAATTAAGACATTGTATTTTCATTTTTCTTATTAAAGACACATTTCATTTGGAAAAGCCATGTACTTCATTCAATTATTTGTTTGTCATTGCAGGTATGCTATTTTTGTTTTTTTATAGAATTGCATGTCAACATAGTTTGTTACGAACAATAAAAAAAATTATTGTTATAAAATATTGTTTGCATTTGATGACTTATTGGACTGTCTCAGGACAAGTTGCATTTGGACAATTGCATTGTGATTTGGAAGATCATAGCCCTCACCATTTTTGCACTCTTCACATAACCATCCATGTTTGGGAACTTCATTTGGCATTTTCTTCATACAATAAGTGTGTTCGGCGCCATCCATGCATCTACTGCATATAGCAAGTAAATGTTCATGCCCTACATCTCCACATGTATCACACACAATGACATCGATAACAACTTCAACATCCATTTCTGAGTAGTTTTAATTTGCAAAAATTCCAAAAATTCTTCATGAAATAAGGTTTTTTTCTCGATTTTTTTTTTGTTTTGTAATAAAGTGACATTAAACAATATTAAATTGCAGAAAAATAACATTCCGAATGAGCTTTCTTTAGAAAATTATATAAATAACATTCCAAAATATCCAAAGGAATCAAAGAGGTCTATAGCTCTCATAGATAATTCGAATTTTGTAAACACAATTGGAATTGATATGTATAAATAACTTTTGCGCCCTTTGAGCTCAAGACCTGCCATTTCTTTTCTCTTCATCACCATGGAATCGCTTACACATGGCACTTATTTGGGGAAAAAAAACAAATAGGGATTACTATATTACATTCAAAACACCCCATAGAAAGGTATGTTCACTCATAAAACAATTGTTAGTGTATAATAAAGAATAAAAAAAAGATATTATAAGTTAAGCTCATCAATAGCTCAAAAAATCATTAAAACCAAACTGTTAAAATTCACCAAGTATTATTTGAATTGATGCGATAACAACAATTAACCAAGAACATACATAATCACACGGTCACATCAATCATCAACTAATCCAACTTTAATTATGCAAATACCTTCAAGAATTTCTGCCTAGGAAACAATTTTTTGCCTAGATTGAAAATTGTAGTGTGTGCTTTTGGGATTAATAGAACTCGTCACATGATGCAATCGACATCAAACCAATTAAAAGGAAAAAAAATCACCTACATATAACAAAGGTTTGTTAAGTTCCCGTCTTTGGTGGCTGATTTTTCGATTTGAATATGGGATAATTCGAATTTAGTATTTTTTCAACAAATAGTGAATTGTTTTGTTAGGATGACATCACCAGAAATATTAAGAACGATCTAAGAGTTGAAATCAATCAAAGAAATCCAATGAATGGTTTTGATTATTGAAGGTGACATCATCAGGTTTCTGTTTTAATATATATAGAGATTATAAAACAACTAAACCGGATAACTATGAGAAAACCCATATTTCACTCTACCCGGAAAACCAATTGGTTTCAAATCTGATTCTTATTTTGTGGTTCCTTTTAAAAAAAGCTTATATATTAATTATTAAAATTGCATACTTCCTATCACGTGTGTAATATTTAACGAATTTTAGGTATGTATCCATTAGTTATCAAGTTGTTTTCTGCCGATTATTTCAACGAACCTTATTTATTTTGCTTAATCCTATATGTCCATTATAAAAGCCGTGTTACATCCATGATATATTTTTAATCATTAAATGTTCAATTGCCCATCACCACTAACCAAATATGTATACAACTCATAATTCGTTTATATTATATATTATTATTATTATTATTATTATTATTATTATGGTTCCATAAAGATTTTTAATATTGAGATATTAAGTATATTTAGCAAAACTTTAGCTAAAAGTTAGAGCTTTTATTTGTATAGAAATATTCGATAAAGTAGTAGTAAACTTTTAAAGATGTAACATTATATAAAAACTAAAAAGTGAAAACTCTTTAAACCTATTTAAAATGGTTTTTGGATTATGGGATTATTATTTAAAATAAAAACTTTAAGCTCGTACCCTTATACTAGAGTTGTTTTTCAAGAATAAAAAAAAAAACTAAAATAGCCAATTTCCTTAATGATTTGTCAAAAATAGCCCAAAATTTCATCTATTCCCAATGTAGCCACACATTTCGCAATAGATCCACTATAAAATAGTGTGGCCCCTGTGAAATGCTTTTTTGTTTTTTGCCCACGATGCGATATCACTTTATCCATTTCTATCCTTTACAATATGCACTTCAAAATGGGTAATGTAGAACATGGAGGGTAATCATGATTTTTATGTAAGTACATTACTTAGATGAGTAATGTATGATAAGACAATGCCTATGTTGCTTTTGATAGAAGTATATTACCTAGATGAGTAAAGTGGAACATGGAAAGTAATCATGCATAGGTGAGTAGATGTTATAATGATAACATTGAAAAGTAACAATTGCAAACTTAAATGCTTCCACATACATATATTGTGAAAGTATGATGTATAAATAAGTAGTTTGGCATTTAGGAGACTCAATGATGAGATTCTAAAGAAAGAAGTATTTGCATTGGCTTTAGTTTACATGATCTAAGTTTGGGTAGGTAGATACAAAATCTTTAAAGATTTGAAACACCAACAACCAAAACTGAAATGAATAAGATAAACCCCATGAAAATCCATTTTCGTGATTCCATTGAAGCATTTAAACTCATGATCCACCGGCGTGAAACCTGCCGGAAAATCACATTTTAAAAACAAGTCAACTTTTGGTAGCATTAACTTCCTCCACCTTTCCGCCCCCATTAAAAAGGAAATTGGGATTTGGGGGGGTTTAGATCAATTTGGGCAATATTTTAATTCAATCTCATACTATATTTACACATATTTCGATCCGATATACATTGTCAGTTTCACAGTCATATCAGCTTCAGTTTCAGGTGAGCATTCGCATTCGCATTCGCTTTTGCCTTTTTCTTTCTTTCTAAATTTGAAAGGTTTCCACGTACCCAAATCTACAGTTGCAGATCTAGGGTTTTGATTTTTAAATGCTGAATTTTACGGATGTTTATTTGTACTTACGTTTTTAATTTCCGTGCGTTGCAGTTTGTCTGTTCGTAATTCACTTGAGCGAGGTAAAATTAGACTTCTGATGCTTTCTACGTTTGGATTTACTTTAAATTAACGAAAAGTAACTGTGATGTTGAAATTGTACCTATAATAATACCTTGTTTTATTCCGTAGGTTTTGAAATCAAGATCTACATTTGAAGCGATAAACGAAACGTATCACTCAGCACAATTATTGTCGGTGAGTAGAGAAGATGAGTGAAGGACAGCGGTTTCAGCTGGGAACAATCGGGGCGTTAGGTTTGTCTGTGGTTTCTTCGGTTTCGATTGTAATCTGCAACAAAGCGCTCATCAGCACCCTTGGTTTTACGTTCGGTAAGCCATTGATCTTTTGCACCAAGTTTAATTACTCTTTTAATTCTTTTTGTGGATCACCGAAGCTTCATAATTCAGAGATATGATCCTATCTTCCATAAGTGAGGTCTTAGGTTTAAGCTTCAACAACTACACACACATCATTTGGTATATATAATATGTTGTTCAAATCTCTCTTAACTATCTTCCTTCATGTTCATGTGGCCCTATACCTATCCTAAAGCCCTGATGCTTTCCCATGGCTGGAAAAGATAATCTAATAAATGTTGTTTGAAAAGTGCATATGAGAGCTTGATGTGCTGAACTGATGATCCACCTACACACATCTTGATGTGCTGATCCACCTACAGTTGACCAACATGTTAACTCATCTAATATGATAGGATTTTGCAGTTTTTCTTATACCTTGATTTGACATGAGTTTCTTTCTGCATAGTTGTTTAATGGATGTTCCTATTTCATAATTGTGTTGGTTTTGACTCGATTCCTTGTTCTCTCAGCTACAACTTTGACAAGCTGGCATCTTTTAGTCACATTTTGTTCACTACATGTGGCATTATGGATGAAATTTTTTGAGCACAAACCTTTTGATCCTAAAGCTGTAATGGGCTTTGGCATATTGAATGGGACCTCTATTGGGCTTTTAAACCTTAGCCTCGGTTTCAATTCTGTTGGCTTTTACCAGGTAATTTTTTTATTACTTCCTTCACTCTTAGCTTAGGTAGTGTTTGGTATGATGGAATCAGAGAAGGAATGGAATGGTTCATTCCATTCAAAAAAGTTATTGTTTGTTTTGTTTGATGGAATAGAATGGACCATTTTGAAGGATCATAATTGAGACAACTCATGCAAATGCAAGTTAAAGATGACAAAAAACTAATGATCATTTCCAATTGTGTTAAAATCTTTCAAAATTGTATAAAAGGTTCTTTTACACTTAATATTTTCATTAATTTTAGGGAAATGTAATGTTTGTTTTTTCATGGTTTCATTTCAGATGACCAAATTAGCAATCATCCCATGCACTGTTCTTTTAGAGACTCTTTTCTTCAGCAAACAATTCAGGTTAACCTTTTTTAACCTTTCTTTCTCTTACCATTTTCTCTTCAAGATTTACTTTTCAGGGTGTCCCAAATTACAATTTTACCCTCATGACTCATATTTGAGGCGACTTATCACTTTTTACAGCAAGAAGATCCGTTTCTCACTTACTGTTCTTCTCATGGGAGTTGGTATTGCAACTGTAACTGACCTGCAACTCAACATGTTGGGCAGTGTTTTATCCCTGCTAGCAGTCCTTACAACTTGTGTTGCTCAGATTGTATCCTTCCTTTAAATGTTTTGAATCACAAGGGTATTTACGTCTTTTTCACATATGAGAGATCCAAATCAAATCCTTGTCCCACCTTTTTCGGGTGAGGCAAAAGATTGCAATTTTGTCCCGTTGACAATCTTTCTACGCCTTTTTTAATGGTGAGAATCACAAGGGTATTTACGTCTTTTTCACATATGAGAGATCCAAATCAAATCCTTGTCCCACCTTTTTCCGGTGAGGCAAAAGTTTGCAATTTTGTCCCGTTGACAAGCTTTCTAGGGCCTTTTTTAATGGTGAGAATCACAAGGGTATTTACGTCTTTTTGTGTAGGACAAAAAATTACAATATTTTTGATTTTTCACATTGGCATTTGCTATGTTATGTCATGTGGGGCCTATATGTTGAATCTTAACAAATCTATCTCAGATGACAAATACAATCCAGAAGAAATACAAGGTTTCATCAACTCAACTTCTATACCAATCTTGCCCTTATCAAGCTCTTACATTGTTCATCGTGGGCCCATTTTTAGACGCCCTTTTGACAAATAAGAATGTTTTTGCCTTCAAATATACTCCTCTAGTACTGGTTAGTACCAAAAATACCTTTTTTTTTTAATCTCTTGAAGTTCAATGCAAGAAACATCAACATACTTTTAACAATAGAAAGAAGTGAAAGCATGTTGCTATTTTTAACTATCTAATCTAAAATTGCAGGGGTTTATTGTCCTTTCTTGCATGATATCAGTATCTGTAAACTTCAGTACTTTCTTAGTGATTGGAAAAACATCCCCTGTAACTTATCAAGTATTGGGTCATTTAAAAACATGTCTAGTTTTGGCTTTTGGATATGTTTTATTACATGATCCATTTAGTTGGAGAAACATTCTTGGAATCCTCATTGCTGTTGTTGGCATGGTTCTCTATTCTTATTTCTGTACTCGTGATGCTCAACCAAAAGCCATTGAACCATTAACACAGTTATCTCAGGTAATCATCAATTCCATTCCCTTTCTTATTCCATTCCGTTCCTTTGTCATTTCATATATTTTTGTCATTGTCTGATTTGTTTTATATTATTGAAGGAGAGCGAGAGTGATCCTTTGATAAATGTGGAAAACGGAGTGAACACTGTAAGTGAAAGTAGTCCTCAAAAGTTAGGTGTGTGGAGTTCAGATAAAGATTTGCATGCGTGAAGATGTTGATTTTTGGGTGTTTAGATAAAATTATTATAATGGAAATGAGAAGTTTTCAATCCGGTAATGAAGATGTTACTGTGATGGGAATTGGAATGGAATTGGAATGGGTGAGAGAGAGAATATTGCTGAGTTGTTATTGTATTATTTGATAAAATTTACACGTGAGAAATATTGGGTTTGTTTGTTTGTATGAGTAGAAGAGTATCTTGGCATTTAGTTATAATATTGTATTTTGATAGAACAAGTTAAGAAGAAAGAAGAAGAAGAAGAAGAAGAAGAAGAAGAAGAAGAAGAGAATATCTTGTTTATTGTTAATTTTGTTGGATGGGTATGGATTGGATGCAAATAGCTATGTTATACAAGGTTCATTACAAAATTGCAAAAAGTTTCATTAGAGGACTATGTGTTGATTGTTAAAAGGAAAATAATAACCAACTTCGTACATGTTATCTTACATGCTTGTATTTCAGATCACTTATTGTGTTCTGGAACCAAATAAAAGCCACCTAAGAGTAGTTATTAGCCAGTATGTGACATCTATGATCTATTTATTTTGACCATAAGTTCAACGAATTCTGGACCAATTATGTGTACTTCGATTCCGGTTATTTTAAACTATCTGAATCAATAAAATGTTCACAAAAACATATAAGTAGATAGAGAACATATCAACACTCCAAAGCTCTTCATCATCTGAAACTATTTTTGTTAACAATTGAAACAAGCTATAAATAGGAAAACCACTAAATCAGGGTTGGGTGTCCGACCCATATCTAGTCTAGAGGACACATTCCTGAAAATTTTATCATTATTTAAAAAACCTATTTTTTGGTTATTTTCTTTAACATTAAATTTAAATATGATCATTTTGCTAAAGAAAAACACAAATAAAGCTAATCTTATTTACCATTTACCAGTATTTAACCAAAAATCAAATAGTCTATTAATTTTGCAGGTCTTACATATGTCTGTCAAATATGTACCACAGAGACCATCCATGATCCAACATACTACCAACCAAACCAAGAAAATTTGATACTGTTATGTTTGATACTCAACATGTTTGGTTATTAGTACCATACCAATTTAGTAAACTTGGTACGGTAATGATATTAAATTTTAAATACCACAGTATTATATATATATATATATATATATATATATATATATATATATATATATATATATATATATATATATATATATATATAGGCTTAGGTTATTCTATTCAAAGTAATTATTGTGTTATTGTATGCATAAATGTGGGTCAATCAAATTTACTTATTTTAAGAAAGTGATTAATATATATTATTGAATTAAATATAATTGAAAAATATCATCTTAATTAATTACAAGGGTAATTTAGTCATTTAATATAGATTTAATAAAGGAAAATTGCATTTTTTTAGGGATCCTAGATTCTATTAATTTTAAAAATCCAATTTTTCGAATTATAATTCTTTTAATTCGGACATTCTGACAGAATATGTTTATGAGTATATTAAAAAATAAAACTATTCTTGAACCATAAATAATAAAAATATTCTTGAACCTATTTCTTGATCATGACTTTAAAAACTTCTTGTAGAATAACAAATTCTTGAACAATCAATTGACGAATAAAAACAAAAAATACATTATTTCTTATAGAATACGGGTAACAATTGTTAAGAATTACATTTATTGTTAAAAAAATAAAACTAAAAAAACTTTCAAAACGGGAAAGAAAATATCAAAATATAACAACGACACTAATACATTCTAAAAAAATAATGTTGCTTATAATCACTTTCAATTTTGTGGTCCATTCTTCAAGCATCAACTTCTGTGAAAACAAAACAAAATTGTAGTTTAGATTCCAATAATGCATTAGCAAATGAAAATAAAAAACTAAATTCCTTTGGAAAAATAATACACGATTTGTTAAATTGTATGAAAATTTGAGTCCACAACTAACTCAACTTTCAACATCCGAAAGTGACAACTTTTTGGAAGTGATCACTTTGTTAAAAGAGTTTTTACAGACATGTCTTTATTCTCTGTAAACATTCGAAAGCGTAATAGAGCTGAAACAAGATCATATTTACATCTGTTGTTCAATCTCGCATTCTTAATTGATTTCATACTCTGATTTGTTTTATACTTGATTCTTTGATTCTACAATTGGTATCAGAGCGGGTCTTCAAGATCAAGGTGATTTTTGAAGAACGATTCTCGGTTTGGCAACTTTTGTCACAATTGAAGCAATTTTGGCGAGTCTCTCTCTATGATCTCTCTTAATCTCTTTGAATCGTGCGTTGCGTTTTTTATTTTTGATCATTTGACTCGTTGGATCAATTTTTTTTGAAAAACCCATTTGTTATGATCCAATAATTTTTTTCTATTGATCAAGCCCAATCCAATCATATTTGTTGTTCGGTATGATTATCAATTTGTAATTGTTCATTTGAATCCAGATTCAGCCCAAAAACATTTTAAATCCCTTACTGTTCATCATTGGTTATAGTGATCCGATTACTATTCATCTGATTTAATCAAAAGCCCAATACAGTTACTGTTCATGATCTTTTATGAGATTATATTTCTTTTCATCATATCCGAATTCTAATTCAAATATCATTTGTCGGATTAGCTTATGTCTCGAGATCGTACAATTCTTGAATCGATTTTTTTATTCGATTATATCTGTGGATCGAATATATGCTTTGAATCGATTCTACTTTGAACATTGTTTATCGATTCATGAATCATTCATATTAACTATTTTGAGCGGATTCTTATCTTCATCTGATTCTGTTTTTTTTCTCAATTTCAATGATCGTTTTCAATTAAAACTCAATATCGATTGCTTGTTTCGATTGAACCATATTCTTGTGTTCTGGAGAATTGAATATCAATTTCTAGATGTTTGAAAATCAATTGAGATATCGATCAATATGACGATGTTGATAGAATTGATGTGTTCGAGATTTTACTGCATATTCTTGCTGATGAACACTCAAAAACGATGAACAGTTGAAGATGATGATTTGATCTGAAAATCAAATTGAGAAAATCAATTTATGTTTGTCGACTTTGCAGAAGAACGAATTGGTTTTGATGGGTTAATAAAAAGTCAAACTCAAAGTCAAAATAAGTGTTCTTGATGAATCTGGAATTGATTTCACTTTTGTTGTTCTTGTGTTGAGTCATTTGAAAAATCGAATAGGAAAATGATATTAGAGTCGAACTCGATTTCAAAGTTTTGACTTGGAGCTGCGATTTGATTATGAATGGTTGTTTGATGGTTTGGGGATGAACAGAACTCAGATTTAGAATCGAAGACAATCGAAGTGACTGGAATCGATTATTTTGATTTCGTTGATCGAAGATTTGGGAACGATGTCGATTTTGATTGTTGGATGTGAGTTCAACGGTTTCAAGAATTGGAATCGAATTTACTTTTATGATACATAGATGACGAACAGTTACTAGTTCTTGATTTCAAAGAATCGAAATTTGGGAAGAACTGTAACAACGAGAATTTGGGGTTAATGAACGAAGGGTTAACGATCGATTTGGGTTAAGATTCGAAGATTTGGGAATTGATGTTGGCTAATGAAGTTTGATGTTGATGAAAAACGAAGGGTTGTCGAGGTTTGCAAAAGAAAGGATTTTGGGTTTGGTGAACTGGAAAACGAACGAAAAACGATGAACTGTAAGAACGAAAATTTGATTTTGGGTTGAATGTACAAAGTGAGATAATTCGATTCAGAGGTTGGATGATTAATTGAAGTTTGGACGCAAAATTTTCGTATGTTTGGAATGGAAAAGTAAAATTTTCGAATGTAGTCCCTCAAGTTTCGAATGGTTGACAAATGGAAAAAGGCTTCGTATGAATGATCAATATTTCATATGTTTTGATCAAAAAGCAGAATTTTCGAATTCAGCCCCTGTACCTTCGAATATTTGTCACCTCCACAATTAATTGAAGTTTCAAATGTTTGACACTTTTCACCCAAATTCGAAAATTTTCTGAATTTTCGAATGTTTGGGACAACTCTTCGTATGTTTGGAACACAAATGGCAGAATTTTCGAAAATAGTCCCTGAGGCTTCGAATGTTTGGCGGTTCATACCCATTTTCGAAAAAGGACTGTTTTTGCTGAAAATTGAAGAAATGCATTTCAGGCCCCTGCAGTTTGTGCAAATTGACGCTTTCTACCCAGCTTTGAAAAAGGGGGAGAGTTTTGCATATTTGGCTGTTTTGGGCGCACTGGGTCACTGCAGAATTTTGAAATTGACAATTTCTACCCATTTTTGAGAAATTTTGTCAAAGGCGATCCGTGAACGAAGCTAAAAATTGAATATTTTTTGGGTTTTCCGGATTAAAGCACAATGTTTATGCCACATGTTAAGGGGGAGTTTTGAAATGAAAAATTCCGAATAGAGCACGTTCTTTTTCCTTGGGAGTTTTATAATCAAATTTCGATTATAAAAAGGGGGAGAAGTTTTATATGAAAATTCGAACTTGAATTTTTCATATTACGCGGATTTGAAGACCGAAGTGATCTTGAAGTTTTGAAGCTTACAAGATGATGCAATTGGAAGTTCGGAAATGATGTATTCGAAATGGGTTTGGTTTTATTAAAGATTTTTGGGGTGTGCTTTATGCTCAACTTTTGGTGATCAATTTGGAGTTTGAGAAGCTCGTGATCATTCGTTGATGCTCGGTTTGTACGGTCTCACATCCTAGAGCCCAAATTGAAGAATCATGGAAGAATTGAAGATTGAAGTTCGTTTCGACATGTGTCACCCTTGAGGCTCGGATCGCGTAGTTGCTCGCTTTTGGAAGATTTGAAGTGGGTCATTCATTCCTAACTTTAAGGGGGAGAATGTTGGGGTACAAAGTTTTTCCTTGAATGACTTTGTAATGTTTGACTTTTGTAAAACCCATTTGCATGTGGAGTATTAGCCTTGTGATACATGAGAGATAGAGAGTGAGAGAGAGACATGTAAACACCTCTATAAATAGTGGGTTCATACCACTTGTAGAGGTGTGCTTGAGAGATGTAAAAGTGAGTGTGTAAGTGTGTGTTATTTATGTAGTCTAGATCTAGATCCTTTTTGTGTAACACCATATACAATCAATACATCTCTTGAACACCCAAATCACCATGTTCATTGTGCAATCTTTAATTCTGCATGCCAAACCATGTTCTTATGTCACTACACCTTTGGAAAAATATGTGGACTTGTGAATTGCACAAAAACCAATAAACAAGAATTATAGAACATGCATAAATCAGTGAGAAAAATATCCATACTCCTTTCCAGCAGAATTAGAATTCATGATTCCATTCCAACAGAA